GAATAAAATATCTGTGCTGTAGCCATAAAGTAATTGCCTTCTCTGTTCTTCTCGTTTAAGCTAAGACAGCGACTGGCGGAGGAACCGCTTGTCATCGAAGTGCTCGATCGCAGCAAAGCTAACAACACCGCCGAGGTTCTCCTGGGACAGACCTCGTTTTCTCTGGAGCAGGTCTTTTCCGAACAACCTCGTCAGTTGGCACGTGAGTCTCGATTCATTAGGGTTCACAGTAAAGGATTGCCGGCAAGACGTGCTTTGCGGTCCACCTCACGGGTCAGACTGTTGTTGCGGTTATAAGAAGCCGTGTAATATTACAAAAATTCTCAACACACACACACAACTGCCTATGCTTTTTTAACTTTTTGTGCCTACAGGAATATAAAAGAAATAATATGGAATAGTCAGTGCTTTTGTAGGCTCGGGTACTTTTTTATTTCGGCCACTCCTTAAGAAACAGTTAATGCAAGTATGTAGGAACTCCACATAATTTCTCTCTCTCGGAGTTTTGAAAACAAACAAAAAAATGGTGTCTAAAAAGGTTATTGATGCATTTTTTGATAAGGATGACGTATATAGCAGCTTAAACAGGACATTAAAGAGGAATTTCCCATAATCTAGATATCTTTGCGCCTAATTCCAGGAAAAAAAGGGTTTCAGATTAGCATTAAGATAAGTTAACTTCCATTTAGGATAGAATTAGCCTTAAAATTAGGGTTATGGTGTAGGTTTTTGTCAGGACGCGGGAATATTTACTCTTCCTAGAATTATGCGCAGGACCACCTGTCTTACTTTGGCAGGATACTCTCACTCTTGTGTTCTGTTTAGGGCTTCATATAAGTAATCCTTACCCATTTGTTTTGTGACATTATAATTTAGTCTTTTTTCGTCGGGCCCTCAGCACGCCGTGCTCCATGACTGCTCAGGCATCCGCATTCCAAATACAAGGAATAACTACCTGGGGCTCGAAGGTTGCCTTCTTTGCACGTTGACCTTCAATCCGAACGCTCCTGCCCACGCCTCGAGGGCTACCGTAGAAAGTTTTCGAAGTCCTTTCATTATCTTGTCTGGAGTTGTGGCATTGCCGACTGATAATAGCCAGTAGGCCATTAATGCTTACTCCTGTCTGCTTTTCTTGGTCAGCACTATTTTCTACCACAACGCCTTTTCATCTCTGTGAAATTTTCATCAAGACGTGCGAATGAGCTCGCATTCTGCTTGCTCTAACTAGACTACAGCAAATAAGGTCGACTACTTAACGAACTCTGTCACTCTAGAGCATTATTCAGCCATATCTCTCTGACTGGGGAAATCTCTCAAAGGTAAGTATTGTCAACCTTAAGAAGTTGACAGTCTCAGCTATCTCGGACGAAATCGCTGCCGATTACCTGTCCAACTAGACAGTCCGTGTTCACTGAAACGGCACTGTATGAATATCTCAAGTCATCCAGGAAAGTTGACTGCGGTGGTTCGGGTACCTTTCTCGTAGACCGCTGATGCGTTAAGGGGTCTTTACTTTAGGGCTTCACCGCTGCTTAGCTTTTAACGGCGTAAACCAACACTAGCTTAATACCTGGTTGTGTAGTCTACTAATCCATTCAGGTGATAATTCGATCTTTGGTAATTGATTTCTGTAACCGAAGGGAAAAATGAGTCGAGCTCTACAGCTTTGCTGCCGTAGAAGAACACTCCGTTTCTCGGTCCCTGTCCGTTGGGTCAGGCACTTATCCAGTCAAGCTACTACAAGGGAAAGTAGTAAGTTCCTGGCAGACGTCCTACCCGAAGTAATGAGCGAAATACTGTTTTCTTGACTATGCGCCAATAACAAAATTTAACCATGCCTATCATGCACAATGCAGCGTAAATAATTTGCCAGCGATTTGTTAATCAACGTCGTCGTTTGTTGCTACATTTTTGGGATGAGCTGTCGAATCAGAAACCTGTCGGTGAAGTTTTAGACTTTGATACGTTTTATCTGG